TTTAAACTTCTTAGTAAGATCTTGTTAGATATTTTCTCAACAAATTTATTACTAATATCCTATTATTATTAAAATATTCATCCAATTATATATATTTGATTGATTAATATAAATACTTAAATATGTCATATTAATGAGATAGTCCAACATGACTTTTTGTAGTAGATATAAATGGTACTTCTCTTTTAATAGAGAAGATTTTATAACAATTGAAAACACATGAATTATATGACGATGATTTAGAACCGAGACTTGAAGTCACCGGTTTTACCTGTGTTTAGCCGGTTTTACTGGATTTGCAGGTTTTAAACCTGAAAAGATTTGGATTTTTTAGTCACAATCGAACCAGTTCGACCGGGCGGTCCGGTTAGGTTTACAAAACCATGAGAAAAAAAACAAAATTTAAAAGTTCTTTTTTTCCTCTTTGTGTTTCTTGGCCTGTCCTAAAGCCCAAAGATGATAATGCACAATGAACGAGCCCAGGAAACACATAATTTCAAACTGATTGGATGGAGGGAGAGATTGTTTCAGAAATCTCGGCGACGACGAACAACAGATTCTCATCGATCTTATTTTTGTCCAAACACTTATTAACTTAAAACAGAGCTTCTTCTTCTGCTATGATGGTCTCAAAAGAGAGTTGCCGCAACGAGATCCGTGCGGCTATCGGACAGCTCAGCGAGCGTTGCTTACACTCCGCCGCAAAATGGTTCCTTTCTAAAAACCCTAATCTTAATTCCCCTTCATTGGTCCAAAATTGAATCTCTTAAGTTTTTCGTTATCGAAAATTTGGGCAAACTGTAAACGATCGGATTCAGATGCTCACGAATTCGAGTAAACATGGGATTGTGTGTTCTGAAATGGCAGCTTAAGTTTTGAGCTCGAAACTTTTTGCAAAAAAAAAAAAGTGTTATTTTTTTATAGTTGTTTCTGATATTGGTTCAATCTCATATGCAAATTGAGTTAAAGTTTCAGTTTTTATGTTTTAATTTTGGTGGCGATTAACTAACTATAAATTGTTTCAGGGCAGGAGAGCAGCTTGTGGGGATAGAGCAAGACCCGTCTAATTTCACACCTTCGAACACGAGGTTCCAGCGAGGAAGCTCGAGTATCCGTAGAAGGTTCAGCACTAATGAATCTATCTCAACACCACAACCTTCCGTTGGCTTCTCTCAAGCAGCAGCTACTCCTCTCCGGGAAGAAGATGAAGTGATTGATGCTGATCTTTACTTTTTAGCTAAGTCTTACTTCAATTGTCGAGAATACAGACGGGCTTCCCATGTGCTTCGTGATCAGATGAGCAACAAATCAGTTTTCTTGCGTTGTTATGCCCTTTATCTGGTATCTTCTGCTTCTCTCTTTCTTACTTGTGCTTTAGCTACAGCTTCTATATGATAGGTTGCTTTTGGTCTTGGCCTTGTAGGCTGCTTATAAACTTCCACTGATTAAACTAGTCACAAAATATTTTATAATTAATGCATGTCTTAACTGGAAGTTGTTCTTCCTGTATAAGAGATAACAAAATGCAAAAAAAAAAAAAAAAAAATCGGATTTATTTTACTCTTAACACCTATCTTCATTGAAACCGTTAGTACTGTATAACATGTCATTCACTTTGTTGTGGTTTTACTTGAAGGCTGGAGAAAAACGGAAAGAGGAAGAAATGATAGAACTTGAAGGCTCCTTGGGTAAGAGTGATGCCATAAACCGTGAACTAATATCTTTAGAGAGGGAATTATCAGCCCTTAAGAGGACCGGAGCAATTGACTCGTTTGGACTATACTTGTATGGTGTGGTTCTTAAAGAAAAAGGGAATGAAACGCTTGCACGTGCCAGCCTCGTGGAGTCTGTGAACAGTTATCCATGGAACTGGAATGCCTGGTCAGAGCTGCAGTCTCTGTGTACTTCAATCGAAATCTTGAATAGCCTTAATCTAAGCAACCACTGGATGAAGGAGTTTTTTCTTGCCAGTACTTATCAAGAGCTCAGAATGCACACTGAGTCCTTGGCGAAATACGAATATCTGCAAGGTATCTTCAGCTTCAGCAATTACATCCAAGCTCAAACTGCGAAAGCTCAGTATAGTCTTAGGGAATTTGACCAGGTTGAGATGATGTTTGAAGACCTTCTGAGAAACGATCCCTATCGCGTGGAAGATATGGATTTGTATTCCAACGTTCTTTACGCAAAAGAAGCATGTGCTGCGCTGAGTTACCTTGCTCACAAGGTGTTCTTGACAGATAAGTACAGACCTGAGTCTTGCTGCATCATTGGCAATTACTACAGTTTAAAGGGGCAGCATGAGAAAGCAGTGATGTATTTCCGGAGAGCTTTGAAATTGAACAAGAAGTACTTGTCTGCGTGGACTCTCATGGGGCATGAATATGTAGAGATGAAGAACACTCCTGCTGCCATTGATGCATATCGACGAGCTGTTGATATAAACCCATGTGATTACCGAGCTTGGTATGGTTTAGGACAAGCATATGAGATGACGGGGATGCCTTTCTATGCGCTTCACTATTTCCGCAAATCCATATTCTTTCTTCCAAACGATTCTAGGTTGTGGATAGCCATGGCGAAATGCTATCAAACAGAACAGATTTACATGCTGGAAGAAGCCATCAAGTGCTACAAAAGAGCTGTGAACTGTAATGACACGGAAGGAATAGCTCTTAACCAGCTGGCAAAGCTTCACCAGAAGCTTGGACGTGACGAAGAAGCTGCAGTTTACTTCGAGAAGGATTTAGAGAGGATGGATAGTGAAGGATTACAAGGACCAAACATGTTGGAGGCCTTGGTTTTCTTGGCTACGCATTTCAAAACTCACAAGAAGTTTGAAGAAGCAGAAGTATATTGCACCCGCATCCTCGATCACAGTGGCCCTGTAAGTTTGTTTGCTCCAACTGTTAAGACTACTTTAGTTTACAAGGATGGTGTGTTATGATTACACATTGTGACGAGACTGCATTTCATGTTTTTCAGGAGAGAGAGAAAGCAAAGAGCTTACTGAGAGGGATCAGAATGGAGAAAACAGGTTTTCCTTCGATGGATATGGAGCATTTTCCTCTTTAGCTGTATTGTACCCAACCAATACTCAAAAAGCCTTTTGAGAGAGAAAAATGTCTTCCATCAGGTAGGTACACTTCTGAATGTGTTATCTTTGGTACACCATTGGTTATCTGTTTTATCAACAGCAGCAGATTCATGTTGTTTATGACCTAATTTCCAGATAATAATAGATTTCATCAAGATGATGGTTGTTCCGTGACCCTTTGTTACCCAGCCTTTTTTTTTTTTTTTTATCAATGATATTGATATGACCCTCTCTCTGTCTCATCTATTGCATTTGGATTTTATCAATGAGAGTACCCGTTCATCTCAAAGACTTTTGTACTGGAACGTAATGTGAAAATCATGAACAGCCTATAGATAATAAAAATTGCAGTTGTGTTTCCAAACGTGAATTTATTAATACTTAGAAGTAGTTTTCTTATTATCTGCATAAAAGCGACAAGATAAGACCCCAGCAGCATAAGAAGAAGTCATCTCAGCTGGAGGATAACATCACAATGTGAAATTTGACAAAATATCACAGGCAAGAGATTAAAAATCCAGAAACAATATAACAACAAAGAGGTGCAAAGGGGAGAGAATGTTGTGATTCAATATTTAGGATCAGTGAAGAACTTGTTGATTCCAGGCATGATCTCTGGGTGCTTGTTGCGAACGTACTTCCTCAGGAAATTCTCCTTGTACCTCTCTCCCTCTGCATGGTTATCCAAGATCCCAGCAGCTCTATTCTCCTTGGTACATCTGGTTGTGAAATTCACAAGAAACAAAAAAAAATGAACACCACTTTATAACACCGATAAAACACAAACCCGCGCAAAAAATAGTATCGAAAAGCTTAACAACCCTGCTTTGAATGTCTGTTTTGTTTTCTATGTATGACAAAAAGCTCAGCAACAAAAGTATAGAAAAACTCTTATCACATAAGCAATGATATATATTATTACATACTATGCTTCCCACTTTAATAAGAATGTTTCTGTTATATTTTCTATGATGTATAACATAAACATACATAAAAAGATGCAGCCTTTGAATGAATAAATGATTTTCTACTATTAAATAGAACTTGGGCTAAGTTTCTATTTGGTATGCAAGAGTGTCTAGATTAAAACGACCTCGTTTTAGATAAAACGATATATCTTTCATGCGGATACACAGAGAGCCAAAAATATGTTGGTCGGATCTAAGAGACAAAAAGGAGAGAGACAAACCTAACTTCAGGATTGCCGGTGATGTTTCTGATCAATGAAAACGCGCAGATCCCAACCGCAACTCCCGTAGCCGCGAACAACGGATACACCTGGTAGAATGGAAAAAAAAACAAAAAAAAAACACGTTATCAACTTGTATACACATGAGCCAGCCAGTCAGATCTTACAAATCAACCAGATCTTAGGACTTTGAAGGAAAAAAACGGAAGTCAAAAGAGAATCAATGGATGGACTCCGTGGAAATAAAAGATGGATAAAAGTACCTCGGGTCTCAACCAACGGCTCGACATTGGAATCGCGGATAAGATGCCCGATTGAGAGAGATTGCAGGAGGAGGAGGAAGACGGCTTCTATGAGAATGTTGTGAGACGTAAAGAGACACCCCCCACCCGGCTTTTATTTATTTGACTTTGTTTTTAGGTTTTCTTTTTACGTTTTTTTCGGGTGAGTGCAAGAAAATTTATTTATTTTATTTTCTGTAAATTCGAAACTATTTTCTGATTGGCAGCGAGGCCTCCAGCTTGAAGCCAATGAGGTTTTGACATCTGCCGGTGTAGTATTTCGAGGCACGGTTTCGTAACGCGTTACTCTAACGATGGCAAATGCCAAATGGGGCAAGTTGCACGATTCGATTCTTATCTTCTATTTTTTTTTTACTCCAAATATATCTTTTTTGTAATTATTGTTATTTTTTCATATAAAATTTGTTATTTTTATTAATTAACTGGAAACAGTTGCGAGTAATTCCTGATCCTTGAAAAATATGTTTACTTGATTGTATTTTTTTTTTTTTTTTGAACATATTCTAACTACACTCTGTAAACCAAACTGGTAAATTGGCATACATATGAACAACATATGATGGATGTTTTCTGGCACTGCATGCGAGACTGTCAGCCTTTGTATTCAGCGTTCTTGGTATATGGATGATGTCTGAGTGCGTGAAACTTTCCTGCAGGATCTTTATATCTTCCAAATAATTTGCAAAGAATGGTCATTTGTCTGGTGTAGAAACCATCTTCACCATTTGAATACAATCCGGAGCAAACGTGACTTGAAATTGACGTAAATTCTTCATGCACTCCATTGCTCATATAAGAGCTTCTATCTCTGAATGCAGTGGCGATAGACTTGCTCTTGTATTCCTTGCACCCATTAAACCACGAAAATCTTGAAAAGTATTATTCCATCCCTTTCCCGCAAATTTTTCATGATCTCTCCAAGACCCATCTGTAAAGCACCAACGCTCTGGTATGGATGCTAGCCTAACTTCTTCATCCTCATGTACTTGTTGGGGAACTTGTCTCATGGACTCATGGGCCTCCATCCATAATAGTGATTCAGTCTCAGCCAATTTCAATGTATCAGAAGCTTCCACATCAATATTACTAAATACCTTATTATTCATTGTCTTCCAAATATACCATAAAATCCAAGCAAAATGGTGGTTGTCCATCTCTGGCTTTACCCTCCAGAATAAGTGATCCATGTTTGTGAATAGCATCTTGGTAGGAAAAAACACTGGGTTTGAAGGAATTCTGAATAGTGCCCATACTTGTACCACAGGAGGACATTCGAAGAAAACATGGTTTACTGATTCCTCTCCAGCTCCATATCTCACACAATGTATGTCTCCTTGTATATCTCTACTCCAGAGGTTTTTTATCACCGGTATACACCCTGATAGAATCTGCCAAATGAAATGTTTTATCTTTGGTGGACAGCGTATCTTCTAGACATGGGCGTTTAGTAGTGTGACCGTAGATCCGTACTCTACAGGCAATTTTTCTCTATTTGGGTATACCTTTTCTACATGATATACTGATTTAACCGTATACCTCCCATTGGTTGTAAAGTGCCATCCATCCTTGTTCTCCAGTCTATGTTTACTGAGAGGAATACTTTCAATAATGAGAATCAGCGCCATCTTAAAATTTTAATGGTCTTAAGCGAAATAGTATAAAATAAAGATTTTTTATAAGTTTTTTTCTCACTCTTTATTATTTGTATTAGAGACTTGTTCCGGGCTATGTCCGAATTTTCGCCAATTATAAATTTAATTAAAATTATTATTACTTATATTTAAGTGGATAATAATATATTGTGACTATAAATATATTTAAAACAAAGTTAAAACTTCGTAATGTTGTTTTGATATAAAGTACATTTAGGATAGTAAGCACTCATCAACATGAATGAAAAATTGACTAATAGTACAAATGATTTAATTGTTCTTTTATATTTACAAATATTTTAATGTTTTTTAGTTTTTATCTTTATGAAAAATTATTCACTTTATATGAAAAAGGATATATAGGTATTAATAAAGATATTATCAAATATTTTATTTTGAAATTTTATTAAACCCAAAAGTTTATTTATCCAATTTTAAAAGAGCTGGACCTATGATTGTTGATAAATTGTAATGAATATTCAGTCATTCTGAAGATGAACTTAATATTTTTATTTTTGTAATGTTGCTCTTATTTTATGAAACCTAAATATAATTACTAAAACTGAGACAGTCAAATCTATCCAAAATTGTGAACTTTTAATATATGAGAATAAATAAAACCATAACTAAATGAATTTGCTTAACTTTCGGTTTATAAACAAACCAATCTTGACTATGTATGTCACTCCTAAAAATATATAAGAAAGGCACCTCCAACTCTACCAAAGCAAGGTGCTCACTATAGTAAAGTGTACACAGAACTTACATATTCGAACAAACCCATGCATGTTTCCTTCGGAATAGGTTTGTTTGGCAATGTTAGAGCATCTCCAAAAAGACACTCTATTTTAGAGTTTGCAAAACTCCATTGTTGAAGTTTCAATGTGTTCTTCTCCAAAAACAAAATTTCAAATCTATACTATTAAAAGTGAAGGCACCCTTGAAAAATCGACTAATGGAAGATGTTTGAAACCTCATTAATGGCATTTTGATAATTTTTTTTTTGGTCTTACATCTATATATATCGATTGTTACAAATCATATTACATATTAAATATGCCTGATTTATTCTCTCCCTTCCCATTAATTACTCTAACCATATCTCATGTTATATTTCATACATTTATATTGTCTTATAGACCTTATATTACACGATTTTAATCTATAGATTGACTACATTAGACTTTTTCATATATTAATATTTTCATATAGTTGTACTACACCTTATATTTCAAAGACTATAATTTATAAACTCATATTACTCTAACCATGATATGATGCTATATTACATATATTAAGAGCTTGATTGGTAGAGATTTGCATAAGCATTATGGTCTTTATTATCCAATCAACATTTGTCAAAGAAGCATTTGGAAAAGCATTTACCAAATGCTAATGCTCTCCAAATGTTATTTGTTCAATGCTCTCTAATAGAGCTTTTGGTAGAACATTTGCATTTACAATATATATTTTGTAAAAAATAATTATATATAATTAATTTATATTAGTATAATAATACAAATAATATTTGATAATCAAAAATAAATTTATATTTTAAAAATTAAAATAAAATTAGAATTAAATATTTTTAAATTATTTAAAAGAACAATACTCCCTCCGTTCCTAAATAATCCATATTAGAAAAATATTTTGTTTCTAAAAGATTCATATTTTACATTTTCAATGTATGTAATAATGGTAAATAGTAAATTTCAAAAACATTAATTATGTTTACTGAATTTTGATTGGTTAAAAATCATAGGAAATAGCTAAACACATAAAATAATGCATTTATTATCAAAATTTTAAGTGTTTTCTTAATAAGTGTGAAAATTATAAAACGTGGATTATTTAGGAACAGAGGGAGTATTTCACATTTAAAATATAATATAATTTATATAAGCACACATATCGTTCATTATTTTTAATAACAAACATAACATAATTTATATATATATATATATATATTATAAATATAAACATATATATATATGTATATTAATTAGACACTAATAATTAAATTATATAACATATATTAATTTTTATGATAATTTTATGTATGAATCATTTACTGCTATATCAATAAATAATAATAATTTATATATAGATTATATATTATTTATTTATTTATTTAATAAAATTAAATATTTTTATCTCCAAAAATTTAATATTTTTTTTAAAAAATTACATTTTTAAATAATAATATTTTACATATAAACTATAATATAATTTATATGATGAATAAAATTCATTATTTTTAATAACAAATATATTATTAATATATATTATAAATATATAAATATATTTTAATATAAATATTTATTTATATTAACTATTATAATAATTTTTTAAATTTATATTACTACTGCTCTGCCAATCACTTTATTAAAAATTTTACTGAAAGCATACAACTTCTTTAGCATACTGCTTTTACAGCATACTTCTAATGATTTATCATCTACCGTACCAACCGAGGCCTAGATTTTCATATAGTTGTACTACATCTTATATTTCAAAGACTATACTTTAAAAACTCATACTACACTTTATATTAGATATATTAATATTTTATTATAGTTGTAGACATTTGTTAATGTACTATATAATATATTTTCTATATCGACATTTTTATAAGTTCTCTTCCTATATCAAATATTTTTTAATGTCTCACTATTTCTATTATTTATTTCATACCTCAAAACCATTTCAAGACATTTGAGAATGAAAAATCCATCCAAATGTCCTTCATTTCATGTTTTTTCTTCATATGTCTCACTAAATTTATCCGTGTTTATAAACCATAGTTATATGACATATAGTGATATCAAATATGTCGATATATCACATTCTCATAGTGACATTTAATGGACGAGATACGTTTTGTTAAGAAAATATTGCAGATACTATTTTCTATAATTATCTTCCTACTAAAATAAATAAATTGCTTCAACTACAAGTTTATAGATTAACCACAATCAATATCATGGTTATTTATTCTTTGGTTGGATTCCATAAATTTTGGTAAGTTACCGTAGCTGTATCACCATTAACTGTTAAACTTTAAACTTCCTAACTAATTCAAAATATCTTCAAGAAATATTCCTTGTTCCTCAAAAGAGATATTTTAAAAAATCGTCTAAATATTATGCCCTACACTTGCGTAACCTAAATGTATATCGTTCCTACCTATTATAAATATAGTCTCTCTTAACCACTATATTCATCATTCCTTGAAAAACCTAAAACAAAAATGGCGAATAATTTGCAGTTATCTTTTTTGAGCTATATAAAATCAAGAAAGACTGCATGTTGCATCCAAGTCAAAATCCTTCATACATGGAGACATTTCATGAAAGACATAGGGGAGACCATGGAACTAATCCTTTGTGATGCAAATGTAAGTTTATCGTTTTGTATAGATTTTTGATTTAGATATCTTCATTTCGTAAATGTTTAACCTAAATGAAAATGTTTTTTTATGTTATTGGACAAGTTCAAGACTTGGGTGATCTGGAAACCATAGGTGTAGTGGTGGGTA